ATGCCCCAACAAGCAGCTTCTTGATCACCTCCAAATGGCCATCACAACATGACCTTTGGACTAGCAACATGACCAGGTCCAAATCATCATTGCAACATATCATTTCAAATGGCGTCATTCCAATCGTAGCTTTGGCATGAGCATCAGCACCCATATCGACTAGAAACTTGACTACCTTCAAATGACCCTTCCCACATGCCCAATGCATTGGCGTCTCTCCACCTTTTTTCTTAGAATTGACATCAGCACCCCTTTCAACTAGAAAGTTGACTACCTTCAAATGACCCTTCCCACATGCCCAATGCATTGGTGTGTCTCCACCTTTTTCTTTTGAATTGACATCAGCACCCTTTTGAACTAGAAACTTGACTACCTTCAAATGACCCTCACGGCATGCCACATGCAATGAGGTCTTTCCTTCAGCGTCTGTGGCATTCACGTCAGCACCCTTCTCGAGTAGCAACTCGACTATCTTTAGATGACCTTTATCGCATGCCTTGTACAATGGAGTGTCTCCATATTCATTCTTGGCATCAATGTCAGCACCCTTCTCAAGCAGCAACTTGACTATCTCCAAATGACCTTTATCGCATGCCTTGTACAATGGAGTGTCTCCATATTCATTCTTGGCATTAATGTCAGCACCCTTCTCAAGTAGCAACTTGACTATCTCCAAATGACCTTTATTGCATGCCTTGTACAATGGAGTGTCTCCATATTCATTCTTGGCATTAATGTCAGCACCCTTCTCGAGTAACAACTTGACTATCTCGAAATGACCTTTATCCCATGCCTTGTGCAATGGTGTGTCTCCATATTGACCCTTGGCATCAATGTCAGCACCCTTCTCAAGTAGCAACTTGACTATCTCTAAATGACCTTTATCGCATGCCTTGTACAATGGTGTTTTTCCACAGTTATCTTTGGCATTAATGTCAGCACCATTTTCGAGTAGCAACTCGACTATCTCTAGATGACCCTTCTTCCAGCATTCATTGTGCAATGGCGTGCGTCCCCTCCAGCATGCAGCGTGTAATGCTGTATTTCCATCAAAGTTGGCATGAATGTCAGCACCCTTTTCAAGTAGCAACTTGACAACCTCGAAACGACCTTTATTGCATGCCTTGTACAATGGTGTGTCTCCATGTTGACCCTTGGCATCAATGTCAGCATCCTTCTCGAGTAGCAACTTGATTACCTCTAAATGACCAAAGTAGCATGCTTGATGTAATTTTGTGTCTCCATATTCATTCTTGGCATCAATGTCAGCACCCTTTTCGAGTAGCAAC